GGAGAAGACAAGTATCCATTACAACCTTGGAAGTGGAGACTGGAACTCAAGTGTTAGTGTTATAAAAAGACTGCAGCTGGTCCTTACCTTGAAGACTCAGTGACACAGAGGAAACAATACAATGCAAGTATGTATCCAATTGTGCAGAGGGGGGTGTAACAGGCATTTCATGAGCTTCATTGTCCTACCCAAATGTCTATCATTGATTTTAGTCATAACAGGGATAGGTGCCGGAGAAGCTCAACATTCAACATTAAGCATGTAATTTTTGTTGATTTGTTTGTTTGTTTTTTTACTTCCTGTATCTGGGCTTCTCTGATGCCTCAAGAACTCAGTCCCTGGGCAAGCATGGCCTGAAAGTGTAGAGGATTTATGACCCCTCCTAGTCAATACCAGCCAGTGTGGAAAATGCTCTAAAATCTCTATTTCCTTCAAGTAGACAATTCTGAGAGGCCTCCTGCTTGCTAATCAGAAGATCATGGCAGAAGCAAGCTGCAGTATTGCTTTCCCGACTCAGGCTACCCAAGATCCAAATGACCTACATTCACCCAAATCCTGTGTCAGGCTCTATTTGGAGAGAAACCAAACCAATACAGAGATTCTCTGTAAAAACAATTTTAAAAACACAGAGCAGGGCTCAAAGTAACCTTCCCTGGACTGCCAATAAAGACATGTGGGGTACTTGAGTGATTAATTGGAAAAGAAGATTGTCCATTTTTCCAGAAGATGATAAGGCAAATCATACTTATAAAACTCCAATTTCTGCATAAGTGTGATCACATCTTTTCATTGCCCCAAAACTTCACTTGCTAAATCTAAACATTTTTTGTGTCTCCATGGCCTCATCTACAAATCTGATTACCTCTATTATTTAAACCTCATTCCTATTCCTTCCCAAAATATGCCTCTCTTCTGGTCAATCTGTTCTCCTCACTGACCCAGAAGCACCTCAAGCTCATTATTGGCTCTAATATTTCTCCTCCGGTTGTCCATCCACCCAAATGTCCCTTTTCTGTGTAATTAAGTCTGGTCAATTCATATTAACCCTACAATGCACACCTTAAAGCTCCATCTTGCCCAAAATTTTTTCTCCATTATCAAAAATTCCTTCTCTTTGGTTATCATACCATACTGAATCTGAAATGAACAATCCAACTCTTAGTGACCTAACTTCTTTAGGCATTGACATCATTTCAAGATACCCATCTTTCATCTCCCCACATACACCCATTAGAGCTGCTCTGGGGAGAGAGATTGCCTTGTGCACCTCAGCATTTATCATTGCCCTTAGTATGGTGTCAGACACAGGAATACTGATAAAGCCCCAAGATTATGCTTAAAATTTATTGTGTAATCATCCCATATTCCTGAAAGAACATTAAGAGGAAGCATCAGTATATTTTAACACAGTTGCAGTTTTCTTTTAGGAGGGAAGTCATGATAAATGGTACCATTTAAGAAAGTAGGAATAAAGAAAAAGATAGGATTCCCTTTATATATAGCTTTCTTTGATTTACTGTAAATAGAAATCTGAAGCTCACATAAACAGATTTCTCAGAACAGATTTGACTAAACTAAGTTCTTTCCCTTCTGAGGAATAGATTCTAATTGCCTGATGGTTATCTCTTTGACCTGAAGAGGGCACTCCCTGCTCCCATTGACAAATGTAAAAGCCTGTCTCAGGAAGAATCTGTTAGGAGATAGGTGTGGTGTGGTGGTGCAGGCTTGCAATCCCAGCTACATGGGAGACTGAGACAGAAGGACTGTAAGTTTTAGGCCAGCCTGGGTAATTTAGGGAGTCTCTGTCTCAAGATGAAAATTTTTAAAAAGCTGGGGGTATAGCTCAGTAGTAAAGTGCCCCTAGATTAAATCCCCAAAATTACTGCAAAAAAAAAAATGGTGGCAAGGAGTATCTATTATTTTCCTAACTAGGTAGGCATGGTGTCATGCATCTTCTCCAGCAACTCAGGAGGTTAATATAGGCGGGATTGCAAGCTCAAGCCTGGGGCAACTGGATGTGCTGCTGCCTCAAAATAAAAATAAAAAGGGCTAGAGATCTACCTCGGTGGTACATCATCCCTGGGTTCAATTCTCAGTACAAAAAGAAGTTTCTGTAATACACACAAAAGAAGTGGAACAAACCCTTCTTTATTTAAAGAAGCTAGGCAGATTTCCATATTCTCTGAATCAAATTCTTCTTAAATTTAGAAAAACCAAAGCAAGAGGTGTTTCTAGGAATCACATTTACACATGAGCTGAGAGAATTCATGGCATCAGGAACCCAGAGGACCTGCTCTGAGCTGCAGGAGGTCTCTGTCTTTCATAGAAGGGACTTAAAGAAGAAATGAATGTTCTTTTTTAAATACCCCCTTTGACATTACCTGTTTAAATAAATTAGCTATCAAATGAAGAAAGATGAAAGTCCTTCCTAACTGATCACCCAAAAAAGAAAAACTTTTATTATCAACTGTAATTATTTGAACATTATTTAGATCATAGGTAAAGGATGAACCGGGTCTAGAATAAACCTGATGCCTTTGTTTTTGTTCTTGTTAGCTAGCACTCTGTAGCACAAGGAAGATCAGCAATCTCTTTCAGCACTGAAATGCCAGCTCCAATGCTTAATGTACATCAAACCACTCAAGCAAAAGACTCAGCCACCTACAGCTTTGTGCAGGGAGCCAGACTCCCCAGACACTCCACATGCATTTGGCCCCAGGCATCTGGCCCCATTTAATAATACCTTCACTTGGGCACTGTTAAACAATCTCATCATCTCCTCTGACAAGAAAAAAAAAATTGCAAATGGATATAATGAATCAGAAAAACCTTTTGAAAAAGACTCTAAAAGTGTATTCACAATATTTTCCAAAAATTGAGTCATAAAGACATTAAACCTGAGATGACTGAGTGATTAGGACTGGGGACCCCTATTGGTCTTTAGTTGAGACACTTACCTGAGAGGGAATATCAAGGTCTAGAGCAGCTTCTCACACCCGGGCCATTAATAATTGTGCCCATTTCTGTACCTGCAGCAGTTCTCCATGAGATCGTGGCAGTAAGGTGGGATACTCAGATGCTTTTCTCCTGGTTTGACTTTTTCTAGTCTAACCCACTCACTCTAGTGAGAAATCCTGTGACAATAGTTGCCAAATGATGGAGCACACTGGAATTTTTCATGCTGGCCAGAGGGGTTCTGCTTCCAGAAAAAGACAACAACCTGCCATCCCCATCTTTATATTTGCCCTCTTGAAAGCTCTTTCATCAACATTTTATCTTCAGAACTCAATAATCTGATTAACTTTATGTACAACAGGGAATCGATCAGATGATGAATATAAGACACTAAAGTTCTGTTTGCTTGAGCCCAGAGTTCCAGGAAATTACTAATTTTCTTTTTTTGTTTGTTTGTTTGTTTGGTTTGGTTGGTTTGGTTCTAAGGATCAAATCTGGAGCTTTGCACAAAAGGCAAGCACTGTATCACTGAGCTACATCCCCAGCTTCAGGAAACTATCTACACAGCAAGGTGGACCCTCTGGCTTGGTGCCTGACAGGCAGTGAACCCAGGATGAGGCAGGGAGCATTTAGTCGTGAGACCCTCATTAGTGAGCTCACAGGTTCAGCTGGGCTGAGAGTGAAAGAAAAATGCTGCTCAATCATCCAGATGTTCCTGTAAAGACTGAAGGAGAAATCATACAGCAATAACAGGTTTGCCGATTTCCTGTGACTTTGGCCAGAAAAATGGTAGATGGGACAGAAATTTAATCACTGAGTAGACAAGCGAGAGAACTGCCACTTTCAGCAATGCCCACAATTTACCATGCTTTCCAAATGGAAATAATAAACAGGGAGGGAAAGCTAAAGCACTGCTCCCTACACAGGAAGTCAGCTTTTGAGTTCAGGCTTTTATTCTCTTTCTTGTTTCACAGGACTGGGCAAACTTTGCATAAAGCTAGACTGTGGAGATGGCCTCCTCTAAGGATGACACAAAATTCAGTAAGCAAAGAAAATTCATGCAAATGAGACTAATGGTTCTCCGCATTGTGAGTTTTCATTTTTGCCCAGTTGCCTCTTCTGTAAAATGCAATTTCTGACCTTTCCTCTCTCTTAGAAAAAATGCAAGTATAAAGAAAAATGAGATGTCAATGAAAAGCTGTCAGATGCGCAACAAAGAATGTCCTCAAATAAATCTTATGTTAATTTTTCTTATTTTTTTTTCCTTCACAAAATCACTAAGAGAAGTGCACAAAAGTCTTTACAGGAATGCTTGCCACGGCTCCTTGACACCATCAAAGTCAGGCATTCTTCACAAAAAGAAAAAAACTCTTCAGCAAATAATACTGCAATTAGATACCCAAATCCTAGGTCCAGTGTTCTCTAGACTATCAGAGTGGTGTCACCATGATTTGTAATCGTTTCTCAATGTGATTAAAACACAGAATTGATCAGAGGGTAATATAACCAAAACCTGTGTTACCACAACCCAGAGACCATTTAGTGATGTTGGCTTCAAGACAGACACAGAGAGTAAAAGAGAGGGAAAGGAAGGCAGTAAAAGAGGAAGGGAGGGAGAGGGGAGTGGGGAGGGGGAAGAGGGGGCAGGGGAAGATTTAAAAGAAAAAGAAAAAGCTTACAGGAAAAACTAAAGTCATTGCATGAGCTTGGCCTATATTTTCCCACGTATCTCATTCTCTTCTCCAAATTATGTGCTTACAAAAAAAAAAAACGATTTTCCACCTCCTTTCCTCTTCATTTTATCCTGGAATAAGTTACAATTCTGACAACAGTGGTTTTTTTTATTTGAAATTATGGCCAAAGTGATATTTTCTAAAGTGAAACACAAAAAGGACCCATAAGCCTTTCTAACTGAGCTATCCTTCACAACAGCCCACCTGCCGTACATTTCCTGTTCTGAAGCAGTGATGTCAGAGGCAGGCTGATACCCAGGGCTCAAATGAGTACAGAAAGTGTCTCACACCCTACAGGAGGGAGCCGCCAGCATGGCATGTCCCAACTTGCTGTGGGCATTCTTGGTCTCCACCGGTCTTGGTAAGAAGGCACATATATTTGGGTTTACGAGTTATTCAATTGGACTGGGAGTTGGGGAGAAAGATTAATAGCACAGGAATCTAATCCTCTCATTGGACCCAGTTTCAGAGACAAAAAGTCGATATAGCACTGCCTAGGGCTTGAAACAAGAAGAAAGGTGGCTGGGGGTGGGAACCAGCTTGTAAGTCTGTTTATCCCTCCAACATGATGCCCCAGTGAGGCCCTTTCTCTCCTCTTTCCCACAGGAGCCAGCATGGCCCAGAGTGTCACCCAGTCTCAACCAGAAATGTCTGTGCAGGAGGCAGAGACCGCCACTCTGGACTGTACATATGACACCAAGGATAGCAATTATTATTTGTACTGGTACAAGCAAACTGCCAGTGGGCCGATGATTCCCATTATTCGCCAAGAAGCTTATAAGCAAGAGAATGCAACAGAGAATCGCTTCTCAGTAAACTTCCAGAAAGCTGCCAAGTCCTTGGGTCTCCAGATCTCAGACTCACAGCTGGGAGATGCTGCTGTGTATTTCTGTGCCCTCCAGGAGCACACAGTGAGACAAGCACCAGGGAGAGGCTGACAGAAACCTCAGACTTCAGCCTCTCTGCAAAGATCGGGGAAAAGTGTTGGGGGAAACAGAAACAAACAGAGGAAGTTACTGTTTTCTCTGGAGAAAAAAAAAAATACTCTTCTGACTATAGGAAACACAGAGAGAATTCTGTAAGCTGTAGTTCTCAACAGTTATCAAATAACGAATATACACAAAAATTCATAGCATTGCAAAGCATGTCTACACACAGTCCAGCAAAACTCATAACTAAAAATTGTGTCTTAATCTTTATTTCATTAATTATTCTGATTACTAGTTGCATGACCCACAATCGTATCAAAGTTGATACATACAAAATTAAATTTCTTACCTGCCTACAAATCTTATTTTTGTTCTCTATTTTTTCCTCCTGAGCTTCAGTCAAGATTTAGGACCATAATAAAAATCTAGTGTTTTTGTTTTCTGTCTCAGTGCTGGGAATCAAACCCAGTGCTGTATGCATGTTAGTTAAGTGTCCTACCACTGAGCTATACCCTCAGCCCTAAAATTCTGTTGTTTCTGAGTTTCTGGTTCAGGAAATCTCTCCATCCTCCCCCTTGCAGCCTGAGCTATCTGATTTTTCATGCATATCTCATTTCTTTCTAATTATAAAACAGTTCACATCTCCACACCATGTCTATCTCATTGTTTTCTGATTGACCTATCAATCATTCCTTCTGACTTTAACTGACTTCACCCTTTATCTGATATAAGATGTTATAGTAATTGTGTCTGATGAGGCAGCAGGGGAGGAGGTGACCATTTAGGAAAACCAGGTCTAGAGGTGGAACCACGTAGTTGCCATGGCCACAATTCCCCCCACTACATCTATTTCACTGTTAAGCTGCCTTATGGAACATTTAATTTCATCTGCCCACTTTGGTGAGTACAGAAGAGTTTGAGAAGATACTCACACAGCCATAATTAAGTCCCATGGGTGGGTTCCAGAGCTTAGGTTGGAAGAAAGTTTAGAATGAGCTGTAGAAGTGACTGGATCTGGAGAGGCCACAGCCTCTGAATCATTCCAAACCCCACCCACTCCCACCACTCACTGTGAACACATCAGCTCTGGAACACCACACTCCAGTGTGGCTCAGTACCCCATACTGTTTCTTGGCTGCAAAGAATGGGTTAAACCCCAAGCTCAGTGGAAGCAACACTCTCACAAGCAGATACCCTCAGACCTTTCAGGTTTCATTCTCCCCCTTTAATCCTTTGGGCTCCATTAGTCACCAAGACTTACAAATGCAGGCTAGATATCAAGTGTCCTATCAAAGCTTGTTTCTCTCTTCCATCCTTGCTTCTAGTGCCTTCAAACAACTCCTCTCTTATCCACCTAGACTCTCTTATCCTCAATTGTGTCCCCTTCAAACATTGCTTCATGCAGAATGTGAGGGATCTTCCTACCACAAAAAAACAGAGCATGTGTTCCCTCTTTGAGGAAGCCCCCTTCCCATGGAAGCAATCTGTGATTACTCAGAAGGTAAGTCCCATGAAGGCAGAGGACACCACTGTATTTCCAGGACCTGCCATACCTGATGGGTGAGTGGTCAGGGGTCATCTACTGATGAATTAGTCAGTCCCTCCTTAGCAATTCAGGGTCATTCATTCTCATACTCCTTCCTATGGTACACTCTGGTCATGTGTACATGATACTGTCCCATGTATCCCTGCCTTGGTTGGCACCATTCCCTCAGCCCTGAACACCCCTCAATTACCCACTTGGCTACTGTTGAAGATGTTCTCCAGCGTCCCCTTTTCTTGCATTCTTGTCCTGACCCTCTTGCCCAGGTAGAACTGACCACTTCCTCCTTCATCTTAACTGAAATCCTAAACTTATTTCCAATGCAGCACACCTAATCATTTATGATATTTATACGTGTTTTTCACTGTCTCCCCACTGAAAAGCAATCTTCAGGTATCAGGAGCTGAAGCCTTACTCATTTTGATAGAAACAGTGCCTACCACATTCCTTAATTCATAAATGTTTTTTTGAATGAAGTTAATTAATTAATGGCATTTTCCTCATTAAACTTGATAAAGTAAAAATTGATAAAAATTTTATATTGCCATCTCCTATATAGTTGTTTTAGTCAGCTTTTTTTACCACTATGACTAAAAGACCCAATCAGAAAAATTGTAGAGGAGGAAAAGTTTATTTGAGGGCTCACTGTTTCAGAGGCCTTAGTCCATAGAAGTCAGTCTCAGTCCTTGGGGCTGGAGGTGAGGTAGAACATCATGGTGGAAGAGTGTGGCAGAAGGAAGTGACTCACATGATGATTAAGAAGCAGAGAGAGAGGCTTCACTCGACACAATTATATAGCCCAAAGCCACACCCCAATGTCCCACCTCCTGCAGCTGCCTCCAGTTACCATCCAGTTAATCCCATCAGGGATTAGTTCACTGATTGGGTTAAGGGTCTCACAACTTGATCATTTCTCCTCTGAACTCTCTTTCATTGTCTCACACATGAGCTTTTTGGGGGACACCTCACATACAAACCATAACAGTTGTATGAACTCCAGATTCTAGGCAAACTCGGAACTATATAGTATACCAAAAAAATTAAGAGTAACGACAATACTATGTTGGGAGTATTAATAGTAATAGTAGCTAACACTCATTGCCATTGTATATCTGCCCCCACATTCCAATACGAGTATGGCATATAATTTCATTTAGTAGTCCCAACATATCTACATTATAGGTATTGATATCCCAAGTATGTGTAAGGAATTAAAGCTCAAACAATCCAACATGCCTAAAATCACAGTGTATGTGTACTTGGGACTCTGTCTCCCCAAAACGTGGCAAAATGCTAATAGTCTGTCTTATTAATACAATAGACATAGATATGATTATAAGAAAATATGTAAGAAAATAGTGCTGTACTGTATATAAACTTATAGTCTGTTCTTACTTTTTGAAAGATGATGATTGCAAGATGAGACTATTATCAGTCATATCTATTAATAACACTAAAATATAAAAATAATAGTATTATCATTGTTGATTTTTTTACATCAGGAATTTATACCTTTTTACATTAGTTTGATATTGTTTAACTTTTGAATATCCAATATTTTAAATTTTTTCATTGCATTTTAAAATTGTATTTTAAACTTAAAATCTAAAATAGAAGTTTTGTCAGGTGCTAATAAATATTGTGGCTGTCATTTTCTATAAAGAAAATGATACTCAATGAAGACTATAGAAATTTAAACAGGATTTCTAAACCTTCCAAGTTTGTCATAGGAAAATACTTCTTTCTTTAACTTTATAAACTTATTTGTTATATGATTAGATGTTTCTGGGATTGCTCTTTTCTAATTTTCCCCTCCAGTTAAAACGAATACATTCTGAATATTTTCCTCTATCAAGTTCTTCCATAGCATGAGTTCCTATGACTACAAAAACCTTAGAATACCTTAATAAGTTCTGCAGGCATTGTTCTGTTTTTTCTTTTTCCTAAACTGGGGATATTCTAAGTAATGCTATAATTTTTAAAAAAGAAAAAAAGAAGAAGAAGAATTCTTGAAGAGAAAGAGAAGGAAAAGAAACTTGTATGCAAGTAAAAGAAGCCTAGATCAAAGTAATTGAAACAAAAAAAAAAAAAAGCACAAATTTGTTAGCTAACAAAACAAAAAAAATTCAGCTAAACTACTTCAGGAAGAACCAGAGTCAAATGCTCACAGAATTTTACCAGTACTAGGTCTCCATCACTTGGTTCTTTTTTATCATTTTTCCATATTTTTATTGATGCATTATAATTATACCTATGGTGGGATTCACTGTTCCATATTCATACATGCACACAATGTAACAATATAATTGAGCCAGCATTTCCATTTCCCTGTCCTCCTCCCTCTCCCTGGTCCCTTTCCTCTAGGCTACTCTTCACCCTTCCATTTTCTTAAGATTCCACTCCCCTACACCTTTCTTTTCCTTTTTTCTCTCTAGCTTCTGCATTTGAGAGAAAATATGTGACCCTTGACTTTAAGTCTGGTTTATTTCACTTAAATAATGTTCTCAAGTTCCATCCATTTTCCTGCAAATGACATAATTTCATTCTTCTTTATGACAGAATAAAACTCCATTGTATATATAAACCACATTTTCTTTACTCATTCATCTACAGTGGACACGTAGGCTGGTCCCATAGTTTGGCTATTGTGACTCGTGCTGCTACAAAATGGGTATGCATGCATCTCTACAGTACGATGTAATTCTTTAGAATAAATGCTGAGTATTATAGGCTGGGTCATATGGTGATTCCATGCCTAGTCTTTTGAGGCAAACCACTCATTTCCATGTGGCTGTACATAAAAATCCCACCAACAGTGTAAAAGTGTTCTTTTTTTCCACATCCTCTTCAGAATTTATTATTGTTTGTATTCTTAATGGATGACTTGGCTCTTCTTTATACAGGCTTCATTCTGAAGCAGGCCAAGACAGCTAGTAGAAACCTCAGAATTGTGTCTTGTTGTATTAGTTTCCTACTGTTGCAGCAACAGGTTACAAAAAAAAAAAAAACAATGACTTACTCAATGTTAATTTGCTGTCTTGCAGTTCTGGAAGTCAGAAATCTTCTCGAACTAAGATTAAGGTATTGGCAGGACCCTTATGGCATCTTAAGGGTTTCCACATTCCTTGGTTCACATTCTTCTTCCATGTTCAAAACCATAAATTGTGCCACTCTGATCTCTGCTACCATTCTGTCATCCCCTTAGCCTATCCTGGCCCTCCTGATCCCCTTGCTTCTCTCGTATAAAGATTTTGATGATTTCATTGTGATTACCCAGATAATCCAGAATAACCTCCCTATCTCAGATCTTTAATTTAATCAAATATTTAAAATCCGTGTTACCATATTAAGTAAGATATTTTCAGGCTGTGGAGATAGAACATGGGCATTGCTATCAATGGAATATTTGTGTCCCCCCACCCCCAAAAGTAATATCTTA